TACCAGCTTGGGGGGGGGGCGAAAGTCACACTTTTTGTGGCACATATTGAAAGTTGGAAAGAAGGACTGAGCTGGAAACAGTGTGATATGTCAAGGTGCAATGACTTAGGTGATGCTACATTTTAACAAAGTGAACATTCAGTTCAATTTATACCTACATACATAAGAACTAAGTCGCCAATTTCTGTGATGCATAGCTTTGGGAAAGTTATCTGCTGTTTAGAAAACCACTTTTGGATACAATAGAAAGCAACTACCGAAACTGCATTACTGTGTTGGTCAGTCTATTGTATCGACAAGACGAGAGGCCAGGCGAGATTCCTTTTAAACACTGTCAACATAAAGCATAGCCCCTTAACTCACTCTCTCCCTCCACACACCACTACCAGTTACATAAATCAGCAATTATATGTAGACCTATACATCTCTGACCCCAACTTTCAAATTTACTCTGCCACCTATGAGGTGTTTTAAGGGTTAAAATTTCACAAACAAGAGAACGAAAAATGACCATACTTTGAGTCGATTTTGACGGATGCCTTCAACAATCTGTTCAAACTGCGTAAGGAACTGTTCTTTTGTTGCAGAAGACGACATGGCTCTAAAGAAAAAAAAAGAGCATCAATTTCAGATACAGACTGAGACTTCCTTTCATATGAGATGTTAAACATTACACAGTATCACCTACACCTATTCATCCACAATAATGAACCACATTTCTCATTACAAAAATAAAGTTCAAGTACAAGAAGACTACTCTTTGATAAATTGTGTCAACTGGATTCTAAAACAACTGAATTAGCCTAAGTGGATTTTTGACAAGAAGAAGAGAACTGTACAACTATAATCTTCAAAGTGTAAAAAATTTTTGTAAATACATTTAACTCGTTTTGTATACATTATTTTAAAACAAGTGGAGTGCATGCTGTCTGTTTATTGTTTGAAGTTATTGCCAACAAGACAAAGACACCTACTGTATAAGAATCCTTAACCAACACCCATATATATACTTAAAAGTTCTCACAGATTGTTTAGGCAGAGTATTCATGACAAAATTTAGTTGAATGAATGGCAACTGCCTGTTGTAGAAACGCAAGTATAGAGGACGTCGTAAGGTTGTCCTTTATATTTGTGTTTCTACAACAAGCAGTTACAGTCCATTCCACTAAAATTCAGAAAGAAGTTTACAAATTCTTCAAAGATGCTGTTGTCTAACAGCATCATGTAATGTGATCAGGGTACTTAAACAGCTATTTAAGACAACAGTAATATGTAATGCAGTGGTCGGCAACCTATGACCCGCGGCAATAATTTGTCTGACCCGCCAAAAGTTGGCTTCACCATTGCAACCTGTAAGGGCACAATCATTGTTCAGTTCAAGTTTCTCGGCTATGC